AGTTGTGGTCTCCCTATAATTCTTTTTGAACCAGACAACAATAATTTATGCTTCGACACTTTTTGAATTGCATATTTTTCTGTTCCATCATAAATTATTGTGTTAGTATTACAGGATACAAAAGTACAAATAAATTTTATACATATGTTATATCAATATACCATTTTTATGCATACTTTTTATATCTATTTCATGTCAAAAGGAAACACTTATTCATACCAGATTCATGCCAAAAAGAATACAAAATCATACAATTTATAACTGGTAATTGTCTTTTATTAAGTATACCAATTTCAGCCCACTATTATGCACAATTCCATACCAATATGATGCCAAAGATGAAAATTGAATCATACCAAATTTGTGCCATAAAAAATATAAATTTTTATACAAATTTGATCTTACTATTATACGAATTTCATACAAAATCTATGTCAATTTTTATACCAGAGTCATATAAAAAAATCAATAATGGTTCATACAAAGAATGAAGAAATTTAGTTGTAGACATTTTAAATCAGTATTCATTCACAAATTAATCAGTAAAAATATTATACAAAATTCATATTTAATCAGTATTCATTCGCAAAATTCATTGTATTTTCCAGTAGCCTTTTCCCATATCAAATTTTTAACATTTTATTAATATATAATTAGAAAATATTCATTCACAAATTCATCGCATTGTCACTGAATAGAAAAAAATTACACAGTATTATTTATATAGCCAATACAAAAATAAATTCTAAATAAACACTAACCTGAAGGATCTCATCGACCACCATACTTTATGAACTAATTTTTTTTCCTAATAGAGCAAAATGAAGACGAAGCAGAGAGAATATTGAGAGAAAGAGAAAGTTACAAATACTGTAAAAAAAAACTATTTGAAAGACAATTAACAAGTGAGAGAAAATGACAATAACTATCTTGAGCTAAACAAGGAAAATAAATATTTTTTTTGTTATATCTTTCCTAATTTTATGCCTCCTATTAATTATCATTAAGATTTTCAAATTTTCTGTTAATTACATTTCCGTTTTTAATGTTTTTTTTTTAAAAACAAATTTGTATTTCACATTTTTTTAAAATCTTTTTTTTAATTCATGTAATATGTTATAACCCGTAATTGTTTATTGTTAAAACTTGAAAGATAAAAAATAATGTCATAACTTATAATTATTAGTCCTATAAATGTTATATATAAAATTTTCACTACTTTAACCATTCGAAACTTTAGACTTTTGATTATTGCTTATAATTAAATTACTTTAACCACCCGAAATCAGGGGCGGACCCACGTGTCGTCCAGGGGGTTCACCCGAACCCCCTCGATAAAAAAGTACACTGTATATATAAGGTGAATTAGATCCTATGTGGATATATATATTTTGAATCCCCTCAATGACAAGTTGAAAGAGATAGCCCAAATGCAGCTCCCATGGAAATTAAGCGTGACATTCCTGGGTTCGAATCCCTGGGTTAGCGTTTTATTTTTTACTTTTTTAGTTTTAGTTTTTTTCTTTTTTTTTCTAGTTCCAGTTCCTGTTTTCACAATTTTTTTAGTTTTTTTATTTTTTTTATTTTATAAAACATGCTAAAATGTGGTGTTAAACCCAAAAGAATTCAAGGGTCCCATACTCCCATTCCTAAAGGCAAATAACTTTTTCACTTCCCAAAACTTTTTCTGTTTTTTCTACTTCTTTCTTTGATAGTTGTGACTAGATTTATGAACCATTTGAATTTTGATGGTAATATCTAATGTAATTTGTAAAAACTTATCTTTAATGCATTTAACAATTTAGCTATTTTGTATAGATTCCTAGTCAATGGAGAAGTATTTTTTTTAAAGTATCAATACAACTAGTAAGAAACTAACTTTTTGTACCTATAAACTATATACTACTACTTCCTTGAAATTTTGTTTTGTTGGCTTATTTACATGTTTATACTTTTATTTTTCGAACTTCCTGAACGAAAATTTTATGTCCATCACTGTCCGAAACTTTAGACTTTTGATTATTGCTTATAATTAATTGATAACTTGATAAAATTAAGCCGCCCTTGCATTTGGGTATACTCTATCCGTCCTATATTAATTGATCATTATACTAAAAATAGTTGTTTTATATTAGTTGATTACCTTTACTAAATCAAGAAAGCATTAATTAAAATTTTCCTATATTACTCTTGTAATTAATTCTTTTTGAAAGTGTTCACATTTCTTTATAAAATCCTCAAGACATTTTTAAGGGTGAATTACTAAAATTATTTTCTTATTTATGATTTCTTAAGCACCGTACAAAATGAGAAATAATTAACTAATATGGAACGTCAAAGGGAGTAGTAATTGAGCAAAAGGGTAGTATGATTACTCAGGGTTTTATGTAATCAAACAAAAAATTGAACAAAACTGTAAATTGAGTTAAATTGGAAAGAAATTTGATTAGTAGTTTGGTTTGAATTGATTTGGTATTGATTTTTTTTAATTATATTCGGATTGGTTTGATTGTAACTAAAAAAATTAATTCAAGACCAAATCAATTCGACATTTCATATATAATTTTGATTTTACTATCTTTTAACATATTATTTCAAGTTTGGACTTAAAATTTTGAATGGTCCAATAAAAGTTATAGTCAATAAATAGTAGTAATTCTAATAAAACTCAAATCAAAATCAAAGCAATACCAATGATAACAAAAAATAAAATCAATTCAACTCAAAGAATGAAAATAATGTTGAGTATTTGTTATTTAGTTTTATACTGGTTTAGACAATTAAAATACATATCCTTATTTTAATTTTTCTTTAATGTTTAGTCATGTTTAATACTTATTAGCCTTATTTAATACTTTTAAATTATGATAATTTTCATTATGAGTTATTAATTTACAATATTTCTTTATGCAATTTCATTATTATTTTTTGTTGAAAATTTTAGTGTCACCACTCATTATCTCATATTTTTGTGTTTTTTTTTTTAAAACACCTTAGATAATTATATTTTGGTAGAACTAAAGAAATATTTAAAGCACAAATTAATTACTCATATGTTTGTATGAATTCTTTATCGAAATAATCCAAAAATCCAAAACAAAAAAGAAACCCGAGATTTGTTAATTTAGTTTAGTTTATAAATTTAAAAATTTAACAAAAATAATTTAATTTGATATTTAAAAAATCTAAACTAACCTGTTCTATATATACCCCAATAATTATCGATCGATTTCTGAGGTGTGAAGGATAAAGTTATACAGTAAGGCTACATAGACGGGTAATTCAATAAATCCAAAAGAAACCGAAAAAACTAAACATAAATGTCGCAATAAAAAGTTAGAAACTTACGTGTAGTAAAAATTAAAGTTAAAAGAAAAAGACTCAAAAAATTGCGCAAAATAGCAAATATTTAAATCATATTAAATGCTATAGTTACCGTTTAGGGAAATTCTAATTCATAGCTATAGTGTCGTCCAATCTTGCTATTCGCCTGATTTATATAATTTGTTTAATTTGTATAAATCCAGAATTTGTATAATTTGGTTCCAGATTGTATAAATCCAAAAATTTGTATATGCTTACCCTAGCTATTGCCTATTTGTATACGATTTGTGAAAATTTCATAATAAATTACCCTGTTTGTATATTGACAAGCAAAATATACAAACGGAGTTCTAAAAAATTCCTAAATGTATAAATATAAAATTTGTATATACTTTCCCTATTTGTATATTGGCAAGCGAAAAATACAAACAAACATAAATATACAACCACAACCTCCATAGCAAATAAAACTATAGCTATGAAGCGCAATTATTGAAACTATGACTATAGAGCCTTATTATGTCTATTATATTTGCTATTTTTGAAATTGAGTTAATGTTTATTTGACACAGTTCGTCCGTTTGTGTGATCCCAGTATCCATTTTGATTTGTACTTTTAGGAAGGATTACTTTTGATATATGTGCCCAAAAAATGTTTGTTTTGATCGTAAGAACAAAGACTTGTCTAAGGACCTGTATAAACTTTCAAAACTTGTGTTTGTATTTACGTAGAAAATATTATTTTAAAAGTATTTATATATAGTATAAGAAAATATAATTTTAAAGATATCTATATATAATACTTTCTCGTCTCAATTTATATAACCTTTTTTAATTCAATTTCCTAGTAGAGCCTGGATGTTGTATTAATCCCAAAATTCAGCACCAAACATATACAAGGAGGTGGATAGTCTTATCTTTGCCTTCAAAGTCATAGCTGCAAAATAGACCTGAACAGCTAGCAGCTAGTTATTTACAATGATTTTAATTACAAAAAAGTAAGCTTCTTGTGCTTGAATCTTAGCGAGGGCAGACCCAATTTATATGACTTACATCCCTTTTTAGTCAGTTCAAAAAAGAATGACACATTTCTATATTAAGTAACAATTTGTTTTAAAAATGCCCATTTTACTCTTAATGGTTCGGAGTGATTTATAGTGACACAAATATTATCACTTATTTTAGACCACAAATTCCAAAAATCTTCCTTTCTTTCTTAACTCCGTGTCAAGTCAAAGTAACCCATATAAAATGAGATGAAGGGAGTATAAGAAAATATGATAAGAGGCGGGGATAGAGGAGTAGGGTGGGGATGGGACGCGTTGAAGGGTGAGCTAGGAGGAGACAATTATTATGAAATGTCACTTAAGGAATGTGTTTTTCCTATTTCATTAGAAGATTTAATTTTTGCATTTTAAAGAATTTATTTAATATAATTAAATAATAAAAATGTGTTATCTCTAAAACTTAAATATTTAAATAAGATGTAGAATATTTTGAGTACAGTAATTAAGTAAACTAGTCAGCTAATACTAGAATTTAGAAGTAAAAGAAACTAGTGTTTTATTTCGTAATTTATTGTGGTGGAAAAATCTCCATTGCCACATTACAGAGATTAGCATGACAATAATGAATATATCGTCATGGTTTTATTTCATACATATTATTTCATACTACTAATGATTTTTAGGATCTCCAATACAAATTAAAGATCCATCATGACTATAGAGATTGCATCCCGCTTTTGCGGTACAACAATTAACACAAACTCCAGTATGGTATGTCGATCCAGTATGTGGACAAGTCATGTAAGAAACTTTAGGGTCACATTTTTGACTACAACTCTTGGGTTCATCACTTTTTCCTTCACACACAAACTTGCCCTTTTTACTGTAATAGTAGCAACCCTTGTAACCCGTGCAACAACTGGTGCATCCAGTGGGTTTAACTATAGTCGGTCCTTCTGAACGGGGACATTTTGAATAAGCAATTTTATGATCACATTCTCGGGGACAATGTTCGTTTGGCTTTCTTGGGTCAGACTCTCCTTCACAAATGAACTTTCCGTCAGCACTGTAATAGTGGCAACCCTTGTAGCCTGCACAACATGTGGTACATATGGGGTTTCTTGGACTTCCTTCTGAACGTGGACATATTCCATAGCTAAAATCACCGCATTCCCTAGAACAAGGCTTGGGATCGTGATCATCATGATGGTCATGGTCGTGATCGTGATCGTGATCATGGTCGTGATCATGATCGTGATCGTGATCGTGATCGTGATCGTGATCGTGGTCGTGATCGTGATCGTGATCGTGGTCTATCGTCGCACTTACAAGGAGAAACATTAATCCTACAACAAATATAAATAAATTCAAATATAAATAAATTAAGGATAAAACATATGTAACACTACTAGTGTATGTATAAACAAAGAATTTTAAGAGAAAAGTAACTTACCAAGAACAAGCAAGTAAGCAAAGAAACTAACTTCTTTGTGAACAGCCATTATAAATGATTAATTAGTACCTTGTTTTCTTTTAATTTTAGGGTGAGGAGTGTGTATCCTCCTTCACCATTTTATAGCAAACGAGTGATTAAATAAAACAAAAAATAGGCAAAATTTCTTCATTATTCTACCTAATTAACATCAATATACAGTCTCCTCAATCGGTAGGATTTACTTTTTAGTGTACTTGCTAGTATAAGTTTGGCGAGGTAGAATCAAATAGAACAAAAAGAGAGTTAGATCTATTCATTATTAAACAGTTAATTGTATTTGACTGATCAATTTTATAAAAATACATCTATCAATATTCTGCAGTAATTCGTGCTTGATAAAAAAAAAAATTCAAGTGCCCAGTTCAAAATATGTGAAAGAATATTGTTTTCAGCTTCTGAAAAATAACTTATTCAAGTATTTTAACACTTATTCCCCCCTAAAACAGATGGCTAATCACCTTAATTATTTAAACTAAACACTTTTAGCATCTTAGCTTTTCCCAGTGCTCTTTGTAGCCATTTGAATTATCAGTAATTTTTTTTTGTCAACTGGAGATACTAATAATATCCAAAGTAGAAGTACTTTAGGACCTTAGGTCTAACTAACTAAATTATTATAACTATTCAAAACTCTAACCATGTGATTATATATTGCATTCCAATTTTCTGATTAGAGAGGACAGGTTTTACATTGGCATATATGTGAAAAATTTCGAAATATATATGAAGGTTAAATATATATCTTAAGATTTTTGCATAAACTATAACACATAATATTTACGTGCTTTTATTGGAAAAAAATCAATTCGTTGAGGTAGTTGAACTGTTTTAATGTATATATATATTTTATAAACAATGTATATGAATGTTTATACATATCTGATGCATAGTTATACATTATTTATACATAATTATACACTATTTATGCATTATCGATACATTACATATACATATGACCATGGCCATTTCGTTGACATTTTTTGTTGTTGCCTGTACAGTTACTTAAGAAGCCCAAATATAAAATGGGAGCTCAACATCAAGTAAACAATGATTCGATATGGACCTGAACCTTTCTCAACCCAATAAAATTAGCTCGGGGGGGGGGGGGGGAGGATTGTCCAAGGGAAGACCAAATTCCATTCCCTTAAACCCATTGATACGGGATCCAACAAATAACATAGAATCTTTAATTTTTAAAAATAAAATATGTATCTTTGAAAACTATGAAAAAGTATTATAAGTCACAATAATTAATAATTTAAAAGACAAAAATAATATTTAATGAAAAAACACGATTGACTCTTGAAATTCCAACTAATTGGGGTGAAAAATATGGGAAATCTCTATTTTATAGGTCATATTCTTCACAAGGATGAATTATTCATCCTCATTGTATCCTCAGGGAGGTTTGGACAAAAATCCACCTATTGTAAATGTCATTTTGTCCTTTTGGATGTGAAATCTACAGGTTGGTTAATTTTTAAATTGAGATTGAGGAAATAGAAAACTTAGATTTTCCCAATGCTCTTTATAGCCATTGAATTATCAATAACTTTTTTTTTTTGCGTCAACCGGAGATAATAATTAAGGGTGTGTTTGGTATGAAGGAAAATGTTTTCCTAGAAAATGTTTTCCTGGAAAACAAGTTGATTTTTGACTTATTTTCTCATGTTTGGTTGGTGAGTAGAAAATATTTTCCGGAAAAGATTTTTAGTGTTTGATTTATGAATGATTTTTTTTTTTGAGAAATATCTTTTATTTTTACTAGGGTAGAAAATAATTTTTGAAATTGAAATTTTTTTTTAAAAACAAACTTAAATTTTTTTGGGGGTGGGGTTGGTGGGTGGGGTGGTAGGGGGTGGGTTGAGGGGTGAAAAATTGAAAATATTTTTTTTAAAAAAACTTAATTTTTTTTTTGGGATAGGGGCTGGTAGGGGGTGCGTGGGGTGGGGGGCTGGTAGGGGGGTGGGGGGGTCGAGGGTAGCGGTGAAAAAATAAAATTTTGAAATTGAAAATATTTTTTAAAAACAAACTGAAATTTTTTTATTTTTTTTGGGGGGGGGGCTGGTAGGGCATGGGTGGGTGGGGGGTCGAGGGTAGGGGTGAAAAAATGAAATTTTGAAATTGAAAATATTTTTAAAAACAAACTTAATTTTCTTTTATTGGGGGGTGGGGGGCTGGTAGGGGGGCTGGGTAGGACGTGGGTGGGGGGGTCAAGGGTAGGGTGAAAAAATGAAATTTTGAAGTTGAAAATATTTTTTAAAACCAAACTTATTTTTATTTGGGGGTGGGGGGGGGGGCTGGGTAGGCGTGGGTGGGTGGGGGGTCGAGGGTAGGGGTGAAAAAATAAAATTTTGAAATTGAAAAGCCGGGGAGGGGGCGTGGGTGATCGAGGATCGGGATGAAAAAATAAAAAAATGAAGTTGAAAATATTTTTAATATTTTTTGGGAGGGGGTGGGTAAAAAAATTGAATTTAAAAACAAGCTATAAATTTTTTTTTTTTTTTTTGGGGGGGGGGGGGGGGGGTGTTTGGTTGGAGGGCTGGTTTGAGGGTAGGGACAAAATAAATTGATTTTTTCAACAATTTTTTTTTTAATTGGAAGTTGGAAGAGAATTTTGGAAAATGTTTTCCTTAAGTTTTGAAGGGAAGTCATTTTCCTTAAATTTGAGGAAAATGAGTTGATTTGGAAAACATTTTCCAAAACATTTAACCCAACCAAACATGAGAAAATTGATACCAAACACACCCTAATTGATAGCTTAATATCATTGCAATAAACATATCTAAGGCTACATAGGCAGGTAATTTCGTGGATGGTTAATCAATTATTTTTTTAAAAATATGATTGCAATAAACATTTCTGAAAGAAAAAAATAGGATACATGTGATAAAATATTAAATAATGGATCTGAGTCTAACTTAACTTAACGTGGGATTCAATATTCTTTCACATATTTTAGATTGGACACTTGAAACACGAGCAATATAAGACTGTGATTAATATAGAATAAATAAAGAGGCAGCGTACCATTTTGTGTCTGAGGCCCAATAATAAAGAAAAGAAAAGCAGCCCAAAATATTGCTCAAGTGAATCAACTCCCACATCTGTATACATTTTACACATTTCTTCTTCTCTTAAATTAAATTTAGGGGTGGCAAAATCAAACCTAAACCGTTCAATCAGTTTAAAATTAACTCGCCCATTCACTACCTTAATCTATTAAAAATTGGGTTGGTATGTAACTCGGATTGACTCATGGAAAATCTTGTCAAAATATTTTTTTGATTTTTTTTCTTTCAATTTGATATGTTGTGTAAAGTCATAACAAAGAAAATAATAATAATTTTATTAGGTACTAAAATAGTTTAAAAGAACAAATAAATAATTAAGCTTAATTAGTTGAGTTGGGTTGGGTCTTGACCCGTAATGTAACCCATTACCTAACCCATTTTGACCCAAGCATATTTGGGTTGGATTGAGTCTTGACCCGATTGTTATGTTAACCCATTATGACCCGTCCAAATTTGACCCAACCACCCAATTGCAACCCCTAATTAAATTATATTATATACGCACCAATTAACATTTTATGTACCAACTAAAAATGATCTCCAAAATATGATTTTCATCGACTTTTCCGGCCTCTTCCTTCCTGTTATTTTAGTATTGTTTCTTAGTTCATTGCCTTTCCTTCTTGTTGAACATCACAAGTTTTTCTCTATTTATTCTTTGGTGTTTTAAGAGGTGAAGGTGTGAGATGAGATAGTTTACATGGTACGGGGTAAAATTTAAGCCTCGTGACATGGGACCTAAGTCCTCAACTTAAAAAAAATAGTATAATATATATTGGGCATTTTTCGTATAATTAGGATGAGATTTTCATCGTCATCATTCCACATAGAGGAAACAATCATCTTCCACCTCGTGTAAAACTTTTTGCTTAATATATGAGGTGGTAAGGGTTTACCTAATTACCCCAAAGGTGGTTTATTTAAAAAGTAAATAAATTTAGACATCTGATTCGTTAAAAACTTATAAAGACACATGTCATTCATTAAGGATAAGACCAAAGGAGATCACCACTAGAGAGGAGCTAAGTCCTCAATTATGGATGATATTTTTCTCTTATTCAAATATAATAAGTAGTTACACATAACACTCAACTTTGATGCCCACATTATAGTGATTAGCATGTCATTGTGTGCATGTTTTTATTTCATACATTAATTAAAAACTACAACACATATTATTGATGATGCCTTATGTTGTAGATATATAGCTTTGAGGCTCTCCAGTACAAATTAAAGATCCATCATGTCCATAAAGTTTACAACCCTCTCCTGCGGTGCAACAATTAACACAAACTTGATAAATTTTGGCCAATCCAGAAGATGGACAAGTCATGTATGCAACTCTAGAGTCACATTCCAAGGTACATGCCTTGGGTTCAATACTCTCTCCCTCACAAACAAACTTGCCATCTTTACCAAAATAATAGCAACCCTTGTACCCCGTGCAACATGTGGTACATCCAGTGGGATAAATTAGTGTATTTCCTCTTGAACGGGGACACTTTGAATAGGCAATATGTGGATCACAATTTAGGGGGCACACTTTTGGTTTCTTTGGGTCAGATTCTCCTTCGCAAATGAAAGTCCCATTAGCACTATAATAATTGCAACCTTTATAACCTGCACAACAGTTGGTGCATATGGGATTTTCCGGACTTCCTTCTGAACGTGGGCATATCCCATAGCCAAGATTACCACATTCTTTAGTACAAGCCTTGGCATCAGCATGTTCCATCGCGCTTACAAATAGCAACATTCCTACAACAAATTAAATATATATATATATATATATATAAAGGAAAAAACATAACAATACTTGCGTATTTATCAACGAAGAAATTAAAGAGAAAAAAGTTGAAGGAAAATCTTACCAAGAACAAGTAGGTAAGCAAAGAGACTAACTTGTTTGTGAACAGCCATATTATGGATTCTTTTTCTTTTCTTTTGTTTGGGGTGAGGAGTGTCTATTCTCCTTCACCTATTTATACCAAACGAGTGATCAAATAAAACATAGTTAACCAAGTCGTTTTATTCACATTAAAACGTTTTTTTCACATTATATATATTTTAATTTATATATTAATAGCTGGTGAATTTTTTTTAGATATGTCAAATTACTTACACAATTGCTTATTCTTCTTTATTAGAAAGCTTAACGTTTCCACAATTGCATCTTTAATTAATTCTTGTTCTTGAAATATTTGTCATCTAGCAACAATTTTCTTCTCCACAATTGCATATATCGCTTTAGGGAAAATAACAATTTTGGTCCATGTATTATAAGTTTATTTTCATTTTGATCCCTGTATATATGAATAGAGTACTAAGCATAATTAATGGAATAATTGTATCTAATTGAAGGACAATAATGGATCGGATCTATCTGTAAGTACTAATAAAACATGCCAACCATCTAACATGATTAATTGTTACTCCCTCCGTCTTTAGTTACGTGGCTGAATTTTATTTAATTATTTAATTATATTCAAACATATCAAAAAAATTTAATTATTTTTTTTGAGTCTTTTTCTAAAGTTAAAGAATATTTTTGGGGCTTTTCTCAGAAAGGAAATGCAAACAATTAAACCATATATAAGTAATTTTTTGTCTGATTACAAGAAAGAAAATTAACATATTATCATTCATAGCAATATTTATATTTAATGTTCCATATGTAAGTGAATTTTTATGTCTAAGTAAATCGTAGAACAAATTACTAATTACTAACTAGGTTGAAAGAAAATAAAGACATGAGATAATAGTGGGACTTACAAATATAGTGAAAGTTGCACTAGCCATGTTTTTCATCTATTGATATTCAAAGTTAACAGTTTTTAAAATCAATGAACTATCAAATTTCTTCGAATTAAGGTATAGTGATAGGAGCAATAATTAAGTAATTAATTATCTCAAATTAACTTTATGTGATCAAAAGAAAGAGTAACCATCTACTTTTTGTTAATTGCTTCACTAATTAGTCCTATTTCCTGTCTTTTTCCTATCTTTAATTATGCAAATCATGTTTTGTGACTATTCTCATGCATTAAATATTTTGTTAATAGATATAGTAAAACTTTATTTGTAGCACACATGAATAAATCATGTTCTGTGACTATTCTTCTACATTAAATATTTTATTGTTGATATGATAAAACATTATTTTTAGCACACATAAATCATGTTTTCTGACTATGTTCCTACGTGGAACGATAAAGCTAATTACATATTAGTGGGTTACTCCCTCTAATTCAATATAAACGAATTATTGACACTATTTTATATTGATAAATTAATATTTGGTTAATGACTTTAAATATCTTTTTTACGGGTGTCACGCTTCAACAATGTTGGGTTCGAAAGGGTGATTAGGGCGTCATGCGGAAGCTTACAATTGCAAATCATATGAGGATAAATTAGATGACACATAAAACTATACTAAAAAGACATAATATTATTATATGATATGACCAATTGGCCTACATAATTAAAAACTAATAAAAAGACATTAAAACTGTAGAGAGAAAATTTTCCCACAAACAAAACTCTTAAACGTCTACATTGTGGAAGCTATTGTGTTCTTAGTGTGAGAAGAGAGGTCTTCTATTTATAGGATTCCATACATTTCCTCTAAGGAAAGAATAAACCAAATATGAAAGAGAATTATATTTTCCTTTCAGAAAAAGTTTAAGCATTTATGGTAATACTTTAACTTTTCTTTTAAGGAAAAAAATAAACTTCAAATAAGGTAAGAAAATCAGGGCAAAACCCTAACAAATTTCCCTTTTTCGTTGGATTTTCTTGACAAAACTTGATCCGCCTTCTTCTATGCTTGATAATCTTGTTCTTCACAAAATCTCCATTACTGTTGCTTGCCATGGTTAAAAATAAAGTTTAAAATATATGGGTTAAAAATGGTTTAAAAATATTTCATTTTTATTTTTAAAAATTGCAGCAACAGGAATGTTGAAAATATGGTTGAAACTTCTTCTTTACATGTAACTTGACAAAAATCTTCATTATCATCAAAGTTGTTGCAAATTGATTTGAAACCACTTAAACCTTTCTTCAATCTTGTTGAACCAATATTAGATCATTGAACCATGTGCTCTGATACCACTTGTTGGGTTCGAAAGGGTGATTAGGGTGTCATGCGGAAGCTTATAATTGCAAATCATATGAGGATAAATTAGACGACACATAAAACTATACTAAAAAGACATAATATTATTATATGATATGACCAATTGGCCTACATAATTAAAAATTAATAAAAAGACATTAAAACTGTAGAGAGAAAATTTCTCCACAAACAAAACTCTTAAACGTCTTCATTGTGGAAGCTATTGTGTTCTTAGTGTGAGAAGAGGGGTCTTCTATTTATAGGATTCCATACATTTCCTCTAAGAAAAGAATAAACCAAATATGAAAGAGAATTATATTTTTCTTTCAGAAAAAGTTTAAGCATTTATGATAATACTTTAACTTTTCTTTTAAGAAAAAAATAAACTTCAAATAAAGTAAGAAAATCAGGACAAAACCTTAACAAACAATTCATTTATATTGTGTTAGATGGAGTATTAAACTAGCTTTTGGCTGTTGACACCTAATTTTGACCCTCCCCGATAATAATTAACTTTTGAGCTTCTTAATTTTTAAACAATTTGAAATAATGGGTTTTATGAAAAAACTCAAAATGTTTCTCAAGTTTTTAAAATGATTTTACTTATTTATATAATATCTTAAATAATTAATGTGTTTTATATAGGTACATATATTCGATTAGTATATTTCGTAAATGGTTGAAATCGTCACAAAAGATTTTTACAATTTTTCAAGATTAAATATTTTATTAATTTAGTTTAGTCTTAATCATAGCTATAATTTTAAGACGATTAGTTAATTATTTTATTATTAAGTTTGATTATTTTATTTCGTTAAGATTAAGAAACTCGTTAATTAATTAATAGTAATTCGTCTTATTTAATTCTTTCACGAATTATATCCAATTTTGGCTAAATCCTTGATTAGCTTGGCCGAATTCGCAACTTGTATAGCCATGTCCTAATTGCAATCTTATTACATAACCTTAAAATACATTTTTTTTGGGCCACTTCCAATTCCCAGCCAACTAATTCCAGCCCTTTCTTCCTATTCAATTCCGTACCCGTAACCCAGCCCAAACCCTTGGTAAAGACAAGAGAATGCTCAGACGCGTGAATACAACAACAATTTCCAAACGACATCCACAATTCTACAGACGGCGTCTTCTCCTGCAACAGCAGCAGCCCGACGCGTGAGCATACATCGAGCAACGGTATCAGACGGCGTCAACTGCGCGTGACCCGTACAGCTATGCCTCGTCCCCCTCATCCTCGAACAGCTTTAGTCGCAGCAGGGCAGAGCCGCCTGTAAAATTGGTCCTGCCAGCAGCGTCCTCGGCTAGCTTGGATGGGCGCTACGTCGAGTGCGAGGACGGGAGTTTGATCCTAGCCATCCGTTCCCCTTTCCTCTTCCGGAATAGGGAGAAAAATCCAGAAAAGAATGTCGTCCCTAATCGGTGAAAAATTTATGGCATTTGAATTTCGAATTCCCACCCGAATTCATCTGTTTTCCCCACTATTTGGAACCTTAATTTCCCCCTATATAAGATCTTTTTTGTTATCTGTGGGGGGGGGGGGGGGGAGGAGGGGGGAGAGTTTTGAAAAGAAAATTTTAGTTTTGGAGAAAATATTAGGGAAATTAGCTAGAGTTTGGAGGAAGAAATACACTTGAGCGAAAGTTTCTTGGAACTTCCTGTTTGCTGTGTTCTGTCCGTTCAAATCTTGCCGGAGCCTCGTGTGGTGGTGGAAGCTCTTTCGTGGTCAGTTCGTCATTGTCCCAGTTCAGCTGCCCAGGAGAAGGTGACAACTTCGTCTTTATCTCATTTAGTTTCATCTCTTTCTTTGTCTCGAATGTCTCTGTCTTACACGCCTAACGTGAGCTAAATACCGACGTTTCGCTTTCTAAATGTTAAGTCGTTTTCATTCTGTTATGTTTGGAATCAGTTCGGGATTTGCTTTCCTTGGTGAATGTTTGCAATGCTCTTCACACTCTCTGATTTTGATTAATTAAGTTTTATTCATTCTGGATTTTTCAACGATTTGCTTTTGACTATAGTTTTGTTCTTTTGCACGTGTGTTTGGAGGCCGGTATTTGGTTTTATATCAACCTAGTTTTATATATTTTTTCATTGGAACCTTTGATGCTATTACCCCACTTGTCGGAGAAAATTTCTTTTCTTGAACTTTTCTTTTAAAAAAAGATGAAATGCATCTTTGCTCTTCTCAAAGTTTGTTCCGTACTCTCTCGATTTTAGATGGTCCAATTTCTATCTATTTAATAAGAGCATTAGTTTAACATGAGATTTCTTTAGTATTGTGTTCCTATTTATTACATCTTGCATCCTCGAGTGATAATATCTATTTAGGATCACTATGATCATATCTTGGATTTCTATCATGTTTACGTATTTGTCCTCATGTTCGCTATTTGTAATATTATGAGAATCATGTTTTGCTCCTGCTTTCTGTCAATCGTCAGTAGTATATATTTGGTCTTTTGACGTTCACTTTGGCTTAATTTTGGTCTGAGTCAAAGGGTTAATGAATAAGATTTTTATCATATTTTTTGTTATCTGAAAAAAAAATGATTTTAAGTAGGTGTACTTTGAGATAAATGTTTAATAGTCATATTTAGTAGACGACATAATTTCTCATTGTTTCTTTTAAATCTCATCACTTGGAATTCTTACCTTTGCTATCCTAAGGATAATGATCACTTTGCTTTCATTGCTAGAAGTTATTGTATGTTTGAAGTTAACCTTATCATGAGTGTTATTTTGTCCATATGTACACATGTCATATTCTAAAACCTCCTTGCTTTGGTCTGCAAGTATTGGAATGACC